AGTTGATGGAGAAAGGGAACATCAGAGATTATTATGTGACCCCTTTTTACCGCGAGTAATTATATATTAATTTGTGTTTTTATTTAAAAATCAATTTTATCCATATTATTAATTATTCTGAATATTTATGCAGCCGACATTGACAACTACTTATTATATATCCCAAGAAAAATACTATAGTTGTGTTTTGCTCAGTGTACTCGACAATGTCGGACATCGTGGTTACCGTTTTAAATGGATAAGTGATATTGTTTATAATACTCAATTTTAACTTTAGAAATGAATAGTTTTTATTCATGTTTAATTTTAACCGACATGTGTAGAGCAACCGAAAAATTTAATGCGCACAGAAGAAAACTTATTGGTAAAAAGTCAATCTAAGTTTATCCAAGAGTAAGTATATACTTATGCTTTTTGGCATTATATTATTTTTAGTGTATTAGTGTGACATAAATAAATAAAAATTATTTGTACTAGCGAAAACAGACCGACGACCATTCTTGAGGATATTATGTTATGAGATATATGCTCCATATTATCTCCGGAGGCATTACACGAGGATGGATGAAGAATAAGGTATTAACTTAATCTCTCTCTCTCTCTCTCTCTCTATATATATATATATATATATATATATATATATATATATATATATATATATATATATATATATATATATATATATACACACACACACACATATGTATACTTCTTAAGTTAATGTTGTTATTTTTAGCTTATCATAGTTTAAATTTTGTTCTAGTTGTAGGAGTTAAGCATCCAAAATCCATACTAAAAAGAAGATATTGATCACATCCGATCACGTTAGGCCAATGTCTTCTTATCTTATTATGAAACCCGACAACCACAACAATAGTTTTTCTTGGTTGCGATAATTTTATTTTGTATATGAACAGAGATTTTGTCATTTTGATGTGCAGATATGATCATGTCAAATGAGTGTATTATGTCTTGATGATAACAATGTAAATTTGCACATTTAGTTTAAAATGATATGATATATTTTAATTTTGTTACATATTTTGTAGTTTATGTGTAAAAAATGATAATGGTAGGTTAATAGATTTATAATGATATGATACAAGTTAGTGAAAATGATATACAAGCAAAAAATGATACGGGCCAGTGAAATTGATAAATATAGACAAAAAGCTTCATTTTAAATCCCTCGGTTATTACATAAAACTGAGGTAAATGAATACCTTATAAACTCAAATTATAAATAAAAATGAAAGGTATATGACGCGCGCAATAAAATGTAGAAAATAAAATTGTGCACTTCCCAGGGATCTAACCCATGACCTTTTAAATTATAACATCGGTGTTTAAAACACCAAGGTGTTAAGTGTTAGATTTGTATGTCGCCCTTTGTTGCCTCGCATGGGTAGCATAGGTTAAATGCATTTTGCAATCGATATTACATGTACATTTATAGTAGTGCATCCTGATCACCGATAATAAAACACTGACAAGGAGATTTTTCTTGAGGGTCTGGATAAAGCAACCAGTCACGTACTCCATCAATCTTAGAAAATGAAATACCCAAATTAAATTCGGCACAAGCAAGGGAGGCTACGCGAATGACAAATTCCCCATTGACGGATCTTTCTAATCACCTAAAGAGTCAAATCCTGACCCAAAGCTACTACTAGGCATATTCTGGATATGAATAAGAGAATCTACGTCTAAGAAAATATCCACGAGTTCTGGGTTCTCAACATTTGCAAAGGATGACGACTCATTGCTATTATAACACTCCAATTTCGTTGGAATTATTTTATTTAAATTTATTAGGTGTTGTGATGTATTTATACGTGTTGGTGAATCTTTTGTTGTGTTGTTGTGCATTTGTTAGGAATTAGAAGCCTTGGAAATTATATAAGTTAATGGATAAGGGTGTATGACCCAAAAGTGTAGAAAAATAAGGGTGTGAGGAATAAATAAGTTTATTAGCATTATTTGAATTAAATAATTGACTTATTATTATTTTATGATAATTAAATAATTAACCTAGTAATAAGAGGAGGGGCATAGTTGAGATATTGATTTAAGGGTCCAAATGTTAGATAAGTCAAAATAAGAGGAATAAAATAGTAGTTGTTTTTGATCAATCGTGGAAATGAGAGAAGAGCTGAACGAGAAAGAGGGAGAGTTAGAAAGAGATGAAATCCATTATTGAAGCTCGAGAAATCTACAATCTAAGGTAAGAGTAGGGTTCCAACTCTCTAATAGGTGGTGTAATTGTGGGTAGATGATGATATTGAAATGTTAGGTTTTGGGATAGATTTTTGTGAAATTGATTGTTGAATTTGATTGCGAATGATGAAATTGGTGTGATGTTTGTGTTAGAATTGTTGTGTATGATGTGGGCTGATGATTATATGATTTTACATGTTTTAATATGTGTACAAAAGTGATTTTGGATGAAAAAGGTTGAAATTTCGTAACAGGAAAAATAGCAGATTTTTGACTCTGGTTGCAGTGTAACCGGGTACGACATAAAGGGTAATCGGTTACCCCGTGTAATTTTAGAAAAACTGGGAAAATGTGAATGTGTAATCGGTTACTGCAATAACGGTAACCGGTTACCCAACTGGACAGAAGCATGTATTTTTGGATTTTTGGGGTGTAACTGATTACCGCTTCTACAATAACCGATTACCACTGAACTGACAACATTTTTGGAAAACTTGAAGAATTCATAACTTTCACCTCAGGTGTCTGTTTGACGCACCTCTTAGACTGTTGGAAAGCTAAAAATATTTTCTATAACATGAAACTCATTTTTATGACTGTAGACTAATATTTTATTGGAAGAATTACGATGTGTGTGTATATTGTATGTGTTGTAACGTGAAATGTTGTGATTGAATGCATCGACATTGTATAAATGATGTATGAAGGAATTGCAAGTTGTATTGTAGTATGGTGATGCTGTTGTTAGCCTGGAATTGCATAGTGTTGGGGACTCATATTCTATGTTTTGCATAGTTGTATTGTTGCATATTGCATACATGCATCGTTGAGGGCTTATGCCCTGTTGTTGGCTTGGATTGACAAAATATTGAGGGCTTATGCCCTAGCCTGTATTGACAAATGTTGAGGGCTTATGCCCTAACTTTATATGGAAATTTTGGAGAAGACTTATACTCTGATGGTACCATATGCATTATGTATCAGTATCAGTGTCATTGCATTTTATTGATTTGAGGATATAATAATAAAAGTTGAGTTGCATATGTGATTATGTTGTATGATGGGTGATGATAATTAAGTATGTATTCATATAATTATTTTGAACTATAATTGATGATTGTTGAGCTTGAAATATTCAATGGCATATTTGTTGTATACTTATGATTATATAACTTATTATATTGTTGAGATATCCCACCCTTTTTGTTTGAATATTGCCTCTATATGGGTAACGTGCAGGTGATCCACAGTAGACGAGGTTATTCATCATTTATTTTTGAGTCAGCTTCGTGCTCTGTTACATAACACTGGGGAGATGAACGCTTAGTTGCTTTGCTTAGTTGTTGTTTTTATTTGAAGAATTGTGGGAGTATATAGACTCTCTTTATTTGATCTAAAATGTTGTTTTATGATGAGTTGGAAATGTTGAAAATAATTATGATTCATTTCGTTGCATTAATAAAGTTGAAGTTTGAGAACCATGATAAAATTATTGTTGGTTCATCCGAAGTGTATTATGTATCTGTTTAATTATACTTGAGCAAGTTTTAATATATTGGAAGATGTAGCATCCCATTCTTAGTATTTTGTGACAAAAAATTAATTTACTCTGATTTTTATTTAATTTACCAACGGGGAAACATGGTGTTACAGCTATCAGGGCCATAAGCATCGTTTTTGGGCATATTTCCCAAATTAACCATAACTACACATTAAGGAAGGATAACAACGTGCCTTGAGAATAATGACCCACAAACGAAGAGGCAATGGAAGCGAAAGTTGTTAGAACACGCGGACAGAAGAATGAACTAAGGAAGGGAAAGCAGATTCCAAATGAGAAATAGAGCAAAATAGACGTTTGAAAAGAAGCCAACCTTTTATAGTAAAATCAACAACGAACTAGCGTTCTAAATCAGCAGTTTAGAGGAAATCTAAGGGTGGTGGGTCAACAGTTCCTTTAAAATACAAACGGTTCAGAGGCATTTGATGGGAGGAACCAGACCTTAACCTCACGCACCTAAAAAGCTAGCAAAACATCTTTACGATGGGAGAATATTTAATGCGCTTGTCCCCAATAGTTTTTGTAACTGATCCACAACTTCCCTGCTTTTTGCTATGGTCGGACATGATCGCTAGGAGCTGACCACGACTTTGAAAGACTTCCCGTCTAATATACGCCAAATAAGTCTTGAGGGAAACTTGTATGGGTTGATCAAAGGTCCAATTCAAAGGCCTATTCATGCGCAAGCCCAATTGAGATTATTCATTGTATATAGTTAGGACCCATGAGATTCAAGTTATACTTTATGATTTTCACTTTTCACTATACTCATCTTGCGCTGTATAACTGACTTGAGCATTAAAGTGTTAACCTTGTAGGTCCATAACGCGCCACCATACCAAAAATCAACACCATCGATTCTATAATCCCCACATCACCGATTAAATACCAATTCTGATTACATATCAGAACAATAATATCATTTTGTTGTATTTATGTCTCAAACTATTTATCAATGTGTTATTTACTTTTATTTTTATTAATTATTATTTATAATAATTCAACTTATTTAACTAATTTTGCAAAATATTAATAATATAATAACATTTTAATAATTTTTTTTTAACATTAACGTAACTAATTCTTAATTAAAAAGTGTGCAATATTTAAATGAAACAACAAACGAAAAGATTACAAAGTGGATTAATAGTAGAATATTTTGAGGTAATTCCACATTGATGTCAAAAAGGTTTCACACCGAGACATAATTTAGTGTAATACCATGACTACAAAACCTTCTCTCTCCACCACCACTACCACCACCACCACCACCGTGCTTGAAACTGCAGCGGCTAAAATAACTCCGGAAATGGACCCAAAATCCGTTTCCGAGACTCAAAGTTTTTTCAAGGTTATGAGTAGTGGCGCTCCCGTTCCTGAAAACTGCAACACCGATGGCTTCTTTGATTCTTTCCTTCGGCATTTCATCAAAGTCGATCAAATCCAACCTGGTCGAATCTCTTGTACTCTTGTCGCCAAACCACCTCTCTGTGTAACCTCATTTCCTCTCTTTCTTTCAATTTACTTTATGCTATGTAATTGTTGTTATTCCATGAATAACCCTATATTAATTTATCCTAATTTCCCCAATTTACTCTTTGTTGTTCAATTTTGACCTAATTATGATGGAATTGTAGAATGGCTATGGAACACTGCATGGAGGGTCTGTTGGGGCATTGGTTGAGGTTCTGTCAACTGCTTGTGCTAGAACTGTTGTTGCTGAGGACAAACAACTTTTTCTTGGGGAAATTAGCATCTCTTATCTCTCTGCCACTCCAATAAATGTGAGTTCTTGTTTACAATGGTGATTCTTTCCTATTTTATGTCCATGGCAATATTAGCTTGTGTTTGTTTTCAAGTTTCCAACCTTTTCACCATATGTTAATATGAAGCTTCTTGACCACAAGTTCAAAGTCCAATTCACAGTGGTTCCAAACACACTACTGTTACTTGCTTACATATCTTTCCTTCATCTATATTAGATTATATTCTTTCTTCTATGAATGTCTCAAAAAGAAAATGTAACTAAGATGTAACATATTAGGATGACTCTTGTGTTGTGTCTATAGTTGGTAACAAGTATCGTTGATGTATATGAGAAGTATTGGTGGAAGTATTTAAAAATAAATAAAAGTATATATTGGATATTTTCTGGATCTCACGGACTCTAACATGGACTCTATCAGGTTTGATATTAGTGAAGAAAGTCCAAACTATAATTATTATTGTCGCATTAAAAAATAAGAGGTAAAAGAAGCGTTGAAAAGAATGAGTAAGAGAAATGCAGTTAGGCCAAACATCATATCTGTTGAAGTGCAGAAAATTCTTATACATAGAGGTATTGAGTGGCTTACCAAACTCTTTAACAAAACTATGATGTCAAAGCAAATAGCATATGAATGGGGGAGAAACACTTTAGTTTCAATTTATAAGAACAAGAAGAATATACAAAATTGTGTAAATTATAGAGTGATTAAACTTATGAGTCATATGATGAAATTATGGGAAACAATTATTGGATAAAGGCTAATAAAAGAGAATCAAGTTATTGAGAGTCAATTTGGTTTTATGCCTGAGAGGTCGACTATGGAAGCGATCTATCTACTACAACGTGGGTAGAGCACTATCTGATGAACCAAAAAGACTTGCACTTAATTTTCATTGACTTGGAGGAGGCAAGGTAGTCAAGCACCGGATCATAAGTAGGATCAGACGGCCTGTGAAAAATCGTAAAGCTAGGAACGTAGCACGACACTTAAGATCTTACTGAAGGACAAAATGGTAAATTCACATGAACAAAAACATGAAAATTATAATACATGAACAAAATAACTTATAAATCACAACTTTCAACTAATTTAATTAAAATTCTTAACCATCATTCCATAATTTAATAAGCTTAAAAGATCAAGTTTAACATAAGTAGCTCAAAAAACATAAATATAACAAATAAGTCTAATCATCTTCAACAATTGAAGGAACATCTAAATCATCTAAACAGCTAAACAAGGCTTAACATTCTCCAACATTATTATCTTGGTGTCATCTGGAACAACTAATCAAGGCCTAACATTGTTTCTGGTTCCGGCCAAATGTTGCTTCAAACGATACACACCTCCTGTAAATTCACCCTCACAGAACTTACACTTCACTTTTCTTGAAGTTGGATCAATTAAAACACAGTATTCCCAAGTTGGGTCGCTTTTCATTCAAAGAGAAGCCATTAAATAGGGAGAAGATAAACAGAAGTTTGATATTTTCAGGGAAAAGAGAATAGCAGGCGAAAACAGAATAGCACAACGATATAAGTTGAAGATGGAGAGGATGAATGCAGAAGTCTTCGTGAAGATGAAGAGAATGAAGAGCATACGTTTTCGTGAAGGGAATGAGAAGAGCGCCGTTTCTGTTTTGTTTTAGGGTTAGGAATGTAAGTTAAATAAAAATTGGTTTCACTTAAAAAACCCGACATGGTTTTAAAGCCCAAAAGAAAAGGCCCAACACTATTTTTTTGCTACGATCTTACTAAAAAAACTCGATCTTGACTATGGCAGCATCCAAAAATGGTCTTTCCCAGATCCTAGCACTAATTTCCCTCCCCAGCACGTAAGATCTTACGACCCAGCACTCGTTTTTGACTACCTTAGAAAGATGCGTATGATATAGTACCTAGATAGATTGTGTGGAAAACCCTAGAGAAGAAAGAGTTTAGGATTTCCTATATTCGAGCTATCCAAGATATTTATGAAGGAATATCTACTAGTGTGCGGATATAGGGTGGAGAGACGGACGATTTTCCCATTACAATAGAATTGCACCATGGTTCAGCTCTAAGCCCCTACCTTTTTACTTTGCTTTTGAATGTAATCACAAAACACATCCAAGAGTTAACATAGAGATGTATGTTTTTTGTAAATGATATAGTCCTACTTGGAGAGTTCAAGGAGGATTAAAATGTGAGGTTGAAGACTTGGAGATGAGCCTTAGAAACACATGCTTTTCAGCTAAGCATAAATAAGACGAAGTATATGAAATGTAAGCTCAGCAAAAGGAGAAACGTTTCTAACATAGAGGTGAAAGTTGGAGATCATATCTTTCCACAAGTCACGCGGTTTCAATATTTTGGGTCTATAATACAAAACAATGGAGAAATAGTAGGAGATGTAAGCAATCGAATTCAAGTTGGGTGACTGGAATTGAGGGCTTCTGAAGTTTTATGTGACACAAAAATACCACTAAAGCTTAAGGGTCCGTTTGGGAGTTGGTTTTTGGAGGGTTTTAGAGGGGAAGACTTTGGAGGGTTGCGTCTATATTTTGAAATGTGTTTGATGTTTTTAAAAAGTTTAAAAAACAATATGATTTTATATGCTAATGTAATATATTTTTTTTTTACACTTTTTAAAAATATCAGACACATTTCAAGATATTGACGCAACCCTCCAAAAACTAACTCCCAAACGGACCCTAAGGGAAATTTTTATCAGACAACAGTAAAACTTGCGATGTTGGACGATAAGAATCAACACGAGAATAAAATAAGTGTAGCAGAGATGAGGATGTTGCGTTGGATATATGGTAAGATTAAAAATGACAATATTGGAGAGTGTTGGGATAACACCTATAGTAGAAAAGATTGTGAAAAATAGACTTAGTGGTTTGAGCATATAGAGAGAAGATCTGTAGATTCTGTTATAAGGAGAATAGATAAGATGGAGAAGAGTCAAACAACTAAAGGTAGAGGAACACTTAGAAAAACTATAAGAGAAACTATTAAAAAGATCTTGAGATTAACGAATATGATAAGAGTATGTTCTTAGATAAAACATTATGGAAGAATTTGATTTATATAGTCGATCCCACTTAGTGGAATAAGGTTTGGTTGTTGTTATAATGGATGACTTTTGGAAACATATTGGCAAGTATGAGATGCGTTTCGGTATCATATAAGTGTCACGTTGACATTTTGACCTTTTTGAAGTATATGTACCTCAAATATGTTAGATAAATGGAATAGAGTTTAGCCCTTTAGAATGGTTCAATGCAATGATTTATCCACAGTTGCATTTTGAAACAGCAGAGCAAAGCTGAGGAAATTAGCAAACAGCTACTTCATTTGCTTAGCATTCCCTCTTAGAATTGCTTTGTAATCTGGTATAGTGTGATTAGGACTACAATCTTTTAAGCAGATGGCTGCATCCATAAAGGATTGTGATTGGAGGTGAATTATACTTTCTGGTTCTTTGGTTTCTTACTTTCTTAGGAAGGACTTGAAAAATAAATTTATAAGTATATGTTCTGCAGGTAAGATGACAAGGAAAAAGGTATCATCATATAGTCTGTGATTCCTATGATCTAGTTGATGGGAATGATTTCGTAGTTACTAAATAAGTAAAATATTAGTAATCTGCACTGGCATTTGCTATGTGATTTTTACACTTCCTTATATGCATGTGCAGGAAGAAGTGGTAGCTAATGCTTGTGTGGTGAAGAGTGGAAGAAATTTAACTGTAGTTGCACTTGAGTTCAAATTGAAGAAAACTGGAAATTTGCTTTATCTCACTCATGCAACCTTCTTTAACATGCCGGTTTCCAACTTATGATCACTTACCTTTGTGGTGATTCTGATTCTGCAGTTCCATTTTGATGTATGTAATAATAATGACAAAATACTTTAAATTAATTAGGCTGATTCTTATGATAAATATTAAATACATGTATAGGCCGTTTACTTTATAATTCATTATGACCTTTTGACTTAAGAAATTAGTGTTTGCACTTGCCCATAAAAAACCAATGGTAGCATGCATCACAACCAAACTTGTTCTTATTTTTGATAGAAAACTTGTTAACGCGTGTTAGATAATAGTGCCTTAGGCTTATTTTATCTCATATTTTATATTTCTAAGTTAGTAGTATAGTCATTATATATTTTATTATATATTTTCACAATAACTTATATTTTGATAAGTTATTCACATTACTGAAATTCAAACCCCTTTATTCTTTTCTAGTTTGTTATATATATTATTGATATGATATTTAGAGTTTGTTTATCACTTTTGCTATCGAGTTTTCAAAAATTTGAGAATATATTTGTTTTACTTTTAATGATTAATTTTATTGAAGAAAAAATACTTCAATTAAATTATTAAATTGTTTCCGACATGTCGTCTCCCCTAGATTGAGATTATCTCCTCTCACCGTTAATTATGACATTGATCAAATATACTTTCTTTCTCTTTTGAAGTTCTTGTTGGTTTGGTTTGATCACTCTCTATGTTGGTTTAGACTTGTTCAGTTGTTTGATTATTTTGATTTAATTTTGTTTGATTTGTTTTTTATTTTGTTTAATTCAATTTATTTTAATTTAATTTGAGTTTGATATAATTTGGTTTGATTTGCTTTTTATGCCTAATGGTTCCTCTTTTTAGCTATTCCTTCTCTTTGAAAAATATTTTAATAAAAATATTATATTTTAATTTAATATAGTGTTTCTAAATTAAAATAAAATAGTAAAATTATAATTCATTCTATTTTTATTTAAAATTTTGAAACTTTGAAGTTAAATTTTTTTGAAACTTTGAAGTTAATTTTTTTGAAAGTTATAACTCATATAGTATTATTCATTCTTTCTATTTTACTATTCATTTGAAGATATTTAAATAGAATTTTAAAGAAGAGAAAAATGAAAGGAGCTTTGTCAAAAGAGAATTTTTCTTTTCACCTTATAGTGAAAAGAAAAATCTTATGTAATTTTTATAATATTCATAAATTTTAAAAAAATATTTTCAATGTGCATATATATAATTCATTCATTTTTGAATTCGTTCTATTTTACGATAAAATTTATTTTAAAAATATATTTTTGAAAATTCTCGAAAATATACTTTCGATTATTTAACATAACCCTCCAGCTTGTGAGAAGAATTGATAATTATTACTTTATTTGTTGAGTAAAGAACTATACCTTGTTTGGCTCATCCATTAAATAGGATTGATTGTTTTTATTATCATCCAAATCAAATCATGAGCCTTAAACATTTTCTTTATGATCATTTAATTAATTTTCACATTTTGAAAAAGTAAATAATCAGAAGTGTATTTTTAGGAATTTCCGAAAGTTTATTTTCAGAATAAATTTTATGGTGGAATATAGCGGATCTAAAAAACGAATGAATTATGTGTCTGAATGTGCACCAGAAATATATTTCTGATTTTAAGAAGTATTTTTAGAATTTCGTGTGATGCGTTAGAAAAGTATAATGTGGAAAAAGAAATCCTCGTGTCAAAATAATAGAATATATTGGACTTCAAAAGCGGGCCAAGTTTTGTGTCTCATCCGATTCAAGCCAACTAAAAATTGGGTTTTCTAGTTTGATCCAGTTTCTAACTCCCTAACGGTTTTAACAATTATTTAGAACATCAAAACTATGCAGTTTTCGATTCTCTTACTTCGAGATTATTGATCAGTGTTGGTGTGCTAGATAACACTCCTGATTTTGCACAGAAACTCAACCACAATGACGACCAAACCTTCCACCACCACCACCACCACAACCACCATGCCTGAAACTGCACCGATTAAAATATCACCCGAAGTGGACCCAAAATCCGTTTCCGAGACTCTAAGGTTTGTTAAGTTTGGGGGTAGTGGCGCTCCCGTTCCTGAAAAATGTAACACCAATGACTTCTTCGACTCTTTCCTTCAGAATTTCATCAAAGTCAACCAAATCCAACCTGTATCGTTGCTGCTAAACCACCTCTCTGTGTAACTCCATTTCATCCTTTCTTCCATTTTTTATACCATGCTATTGTTGTTGTTATTCCTTTTATTGATTGAAGACTTATGAATTGAAACCTTCACTGTTTAGTCATTTTGAAACTTTTTGTTTTGCAGAATGGCTATGGAACACTGCATGGAGGGGCTACTGGGTCCTTGGACGAGGTTCTGTCAGAGGATTGCTCTGTGTAATCCTTTTCAAGATTTTGGACATGTTTTGAAGAGAATGAACTTAATCTTATGGATCTGTTCCCGAGACTCTTCCTAACCAAGCTTACCATGTTAGTCGATCCTTCTTGGTTGATGTAACCAGTGTGTCGAAGACTAATTATTTCCATACTTAATCCTTTTTCTACGAAGTTGCTATCATTCCTTGTCGATTCCATAAGATAGAATTTATAGGCTAACAAATGCCCCTCCAGAAATTCTACTTTCAATCATATAAGATGGAAGAAAGGTGATATTTTTTGTAACTTCTCGGCATTGTTCAAGATAACCTGCACACCTCATAGTCATCATGACCACTTTTCACGAAATCGTCACATCACAAACGTGTATGCAGATTTCCATCATTACTTTGATTTTCTAGGACATTAATGGCCACAAAATTAAATATTAAAAGAAATCATTTTAATTTTGTTTTTTTCCCTAAAATTTAAACGTCACATCTCGATTCAGATATGCCACATGTCTAAATTCTTTTAAGAGGGAAACTGAAAAAGTTTTTTTTCTCTTCGTGGCTATTTATACCCCTTTTCTCCATTTCTTTCTCTTTTTTCGCCATCTTCTTCCTTAAATCCCTAGAAATACTCTAAATTTCTCTACGACTTTTTCTTTGCATTTCCTTAACAAACCTTTTCACTCAAAAAATTTCTCAAGGGACAACAATGGTTTTTGGTTCCATACAAGACGTCAACCTCACATTCCATTTGTTGCTGAACTCAACAGTCCCATCCTCAGAGATGACTATACTTACATACCTGAGCCTCAAATGAAAGAAGAAAAACATGTTGTCTGATTTTCTCAGGTACTCGTCCCACTTAGGTACCTGAGACCTTGTTTATGAGATGAGAGTTCACATTTTTTTACTATTGTTCTCAATAGAATTCTACTATTCAAGTTACAAAGATACTGAATTTGTGACAAATATATGAATCTGCATCCCACTTTTTACTCTAAGCATTTTATTTGATTTCTTTTATCATTTTCTTTTATTTACTTCATCTTTCAATCAATTTTGCAATTTACTTTTTGGAGTTTCTATCCAATTGTTCCATATTCAAACGTTAGATTTCCAAGCATAAACACATTTTCTCAAGCTTGTTGCACGAAATGTCCTTAGAATTTTTTCGAATTTAATCCTTTAAATGAACCAAAACATACCATTACAAACATTTTTAAATAGGTTTTTAGAACATTTAAAATTACTCAAAATCAAAAATCATTTATGTATTAACAAACAATTTGTTTAATTCCATTTTTTATAATCAAATTCAATTTATTCCTTTTTTTAAACAAAAATATTGGTTTTTAATAAATAATTAATTGATGATTAATGTTGTCTAAATTAAAATATTCGACAAAAACTTATTTATTCCTTAATTGAAAAGCTATCGACCGACCAGAACTTGCTATCTTGCATTAACACTATGATCTATAAAAAACCATTAGAAATAAATACAATAAATAATATCTTTCTAAGTAAAAATTTAGTTTGGCTCGATTCTTAGTAGAAATAAGATTTGGCTAGTGAGTCGTCTCTTTGAACCACGAAACTAAATTAATCGATTCACTATGTACATCAGAACTGGTTGGCTACACCAAAAAAAATAGTTTGATTAACTAAAGAATGACATAAAATCTATTCCATAAGAGCCTTCTATTTTATATTAGTTTTTAAATAAATCACATATTCTTTCGATTGCCATAGAAATTGAGGGAAAAAGTTCCTCAAAGAAAATGTTTGATCCCGAATACCTTCAACTTCGTATTTTAGTTATAATTAAAATGATACATTCTTTTTGTTTTAAATTAAAAATATATTACCTTTCTCCTTGTTTACTCGTTAAAATCGAGGAAAAAAGTAACTCTAATTTTATATATAAAGCACCAATTTTATATGTGTTATTTTAATTCATAAATGAGTTTTTTTATGCAGTTTTGTTTCACAAAAATGTATAATTTAGGGTCTGTTTAAAAAAAAAAAACATGTTAAACGTAAATTTTGTAAAAGTAAATAAAAAAAGGGTTTTTCCCCGGGTTGGTTCACAAAACTAAGGTAAAAACCATATATCTTTTACCTCGAATATAAGTTGTAGATAAGGGAAATTGACGAGCGCGTTTTTCAGTTTTGAAAATAAAAAAGTTGTTGTTGGAAAGCTGCCATATCCCAATTTTGTCCTAGAGAAATTCATTAACCGCATTTATGTCACTAGTCGATAATTCATGCATTAGGTTGACAAAAAGTCAATCTTAGTGTAAGAACAAGATTGGTTATGCATCTGGCCTTGAGTTTTGATGATAACTTTACATGGTATCTTAGAGAATAATTGTGTAATCTAATGATTCATGTCTAGTGTGTAGATTTTTCTAAACAAGTTCTGACTCTGGTAGAAGGCGTGTGACGTCATCAGGTTCTGAACTCAACATTCTGGAAGAATACCTATGATGTGTTACAAAGACAAGTCAAGATTCTAGAATTCTTCTTCTACAATGATTCTAAAGAATGTTAGTACAAGAGCTTCTGATTGTGACTTTATAGGGAAGCTTTGAAGGCCTTCTAAAGATTTACTTCTACTGTCCCAAGTTCTGAAGATGCTG